TCTCGGTGAAAAATGGGCCGATATAGAGTTTAACATAGATTCAAAACAATCCTTATTTTCTTTGACCTGATGCTGTTTCCATATGAACTCTGCTAAATAAGATTCTAAATGATATCTCACTGTTCCCCTATGTCTCTTGTTCCTCCATTTAGCACTGCCCCACATTCTCTCAACTGTTTGTGTATGAACTCCTGTATCAGGATCACTCAAATTGTATTTATGATTAACTTTAGCATGTAGAAATCCTTCTTTTTCTATTCTATTTGTTTGGTGACCTTTTTAGCTGTCAGAATAAATTGAGCTACCATCTGCAATGTTTTCAATAATTTTATTAAGAAGGGTAGAGCCAGTCTATTAGGAACAGTGACAACAAATGGATCTTTTGTTTCTCTACATATACCACAAAACACGTACTGTTCGGGTAATACTCAGCCACAATTATTTTTATGCTTAGTAAACAAATTTTCATCAATTTCCACAATACAATCTGGTCCATTTACCTTCTTGTTTGGTTTATTCTCCATATCCAAGACACATAATTCACACATGTAATTGTTCCAATCCATAACGGTTTTATCCTATAAATGAAGTTGCTTTTCACAAAATTTAATAAATGTCAACTCCTTACACCAGCAGTATATGAATCTCAAAATTGAACAAAAGGGAATTCTACTTCCTTCAAACCAGTTGACTTTTCTAAGTACCACTTACTGATCAAACTGTCTTAAATTACATTTTCAAAATGTACGTTTACCAAAATAAAGTTTCATATCATGCGAATTGGTACATTTTCGTTGTTTTTTTTTTTTTTTTTTTTTTTTTTTTTTTTGTAAAATATTTTGCTCCTGAAATAAAATTGCATCTTCTTCTAAGTTTGGCAAATCCCAAAGACTCATTTTCATAGCACTAAAAAATAGCGTCGAAAAACGACAAACAACAAGACAAAAAGGAGTCCAAACGATAACTGCATGCGAACAACAGGATTGCTCTTTATTGGCGCATCAGTGCAACTTCTACTGCCCTGCCATTAATACGTAAGTACTGATTACTTTTTTCTAATAATTCTAATATTTTGGTTTCAGTCAGTTTTTATTTACTTTCCTTTTCTTAGGCTGTGAAGGCCCTGCAATACTTGTACTGTCTTCTACTTTTAAAAATGGACGTAAAAATTGAAACACAATATTTAAAAACTATGCACCTAAAATATAAAAGTAATGCTTCACTAAAATGCGTAAAAAACCTTTTCATTCAACTTCCAAAGCCGCACTAAAGATAAAGCATATAAAGAGGTAGCTGTGTGCTGACGCGTAAGTGTGTCAGTGGCAGTGAATGTGTTAAAAACATGTAGAACTGATACATAGAGCTTTGAAATCAAACCGAGTTATTTCATGTGATTGTAAACAGTTCAATTTGACAAATTTAACTTTTTATAGATTTTTTACAATGTTATTCAACAGTTTGCTTCTACTCTTTTCTAGTAATTCTAATATTTCGGCTTCAGTCAATTTTTTATTTACTTTCCTTTTCTTAGGCTGTGAAGGCCCTGCAGTACTTGTACTGTCTTCTACTTTTAAAATTGGACATAAAAAAATTGAAACACACAATTTAAAAACTATGCACCTAAAATATAAAAGTAATGCTTCACTAAAATGCCTCAAAAACCTCTTCGTTCAACCTCCAAAGCTGCACTAAAAATAAAGCATATAAAGAGGTAGCTCTGTGTTAAGAACATATAGAACTGATTTATAGAGCTTTTAAATCAAACCGAGTTATTTCATGTGATTGTAAACCGTTTAATTTGGCAAATTTAACCTTTTAGAGATTTCTTACAATGTTATTCAACAGTTTTCTTCAATCAGTACCTTTATTTTGTCTTTATCAGCTTTAACTGGCCTTTCAGAACATGACGTAGCTTCAGTACTGAAATTGACAGCAAAATTTTGCTAACCAGGTTTTGCACTGTTATTTCCTCGGTGCATCTGTATAAGTGTCACATTTTCCCCCCTGTTGAACAGTATTATTTTATTTGTTGTAATAAAACAAAATATACCAAAAATGCTTCTTTTGATTTTTCATATTTTATAGGAAATATATTCCCCCCCCCCTGAATTCTACTGAATGTAACAAAGTGATTTAAAAACAAGCCTTGAAATGTCAGCTTTCAAATTATATAATGGCAGTTTGATTTAGAATGAAGTTGGCTAGTTAAAAATACTACTCAATCCTCTGATAATAATAAAAAGAAAATGAAATTTCCAAACAACATAATATGTACAACCATAAAAACATGGTATGATTAGAACACTTTGTAATATAACATGATGGAGTTAGACAAAAGTCCATATTTCAAATAAATGTCCTAGAAATTTAAAAGTCATAAAACTGTCAGTGGTGTCTTTACTATTCTCTAATTATCTGTAGCACCAATACATACATATCTTATGTCCAATGTGCATATACACATAAGTTTTGTAATGGTAAGTTGTTTTATTTCTAAATTTTCTCTGTTTATATGCATTCTAATCTTTCATGTTACTTCAGAAGTGGGAAGGCCATAATTTTATTCACTTAGACCTTCAGAATTGGAGCTAAAAAATATAATTTATGTACTGTTTAATACTGTTATCAGAATTATCAAATGAATTATTCTTAAGTACCAGATTCTATGTATACAAATGAACTGTAAATTAATATGTAAAAGTGTGATCATTTTAGATTTTTTATGCATAGCTGATATTACTGTATATATACTGTGGCTTTAATAATAATTTTAATAAAAAGTATTTAATTACATTCTGTATTGAAAGTCTCCCTTAAAAAGTTTTATTCGTGCAGTTTCCTTCTTCCATTTTTTGAAAGTTTTATTTCAAATGATAAAATTACTGGGCTCTTTAAAATCTCCTTATAGTTGCAAATAAGTTCATTTGATATAAAGTTTTACAAGTGTGGTTATTAAGTTATGTTATCAAAATTGTAGACTTTGGAAGTGAAGATACTTTGCTTGTGATCTTCTGACGTCACATTTGTATTTAGTAATACTATTAGCCATGAAAATTTTTGACTTGAATTAATAATCTTGATCATAATAAAATAACGTTTCTTAAAAAAGGGGGGAATGGAGGCATTTTATAAGTTATTGTGATTTTAATATTATACTTTTTCTTATGCTAAATAGAATTAACAGAAATAAAAATGTGTGTTAAAGGATAAATGTATATACTAGTATAATATAAAATGAATATCACTTTCATCATCTTGTAAATTTTTCAGTAATTATTCTTATTAATAAGCTATGTGCTTATATGTGTTGAGACGTATATCCGTAATATGTTTTATTATGCCATGCGAACTTTACATTAAATTTGTTTTGAATATTGGAATTGAACTTATCATGTCTAGGGACAAAGTATATGGCTTTAATGCATTTCACTAAAAAGTTTTCAATGTCTTTCTGGATTCTTAATGTACTGTTATATGAAGTATTATCTTTCATGTCTTAACTGCTGAAGGCTACTAAAGTTACAGAATTTTAAAAATTAAATAGAACAATAGAATTCTCATTTTAAAAGCTAAGATAGGGCTAAGTTTATTATTTTATCTTTTAAAGTGCTTGTTTGTTTAATTTCAAAACTGCATCTATAATATTTTTGCATTTTTTCATACAAATATACAATAGGCATTATATACAATAAGCATGCCTTAGGAAATCATATTGTGGTCATTAAACTAAGGAATTTAATTAGATTTTTTTTTTTTTTTTTTTTTTTTTTATTCTATTCAGGTTCATTGATTTCACCATGAGACACTTGTTCAAGGCTGATAATTGAAATTTTTAGTGTTAAGGAAAAGAGGTAGAACTCAATAGATATTTATCAGTGGGGAGCCACGCAGATGATTTATCTCTTAGGGAATGGAAATGTTTGATTTTCATTGATTTGTTTTATTCCAATTTTTAAAAGGCTTTTCAAGTTCTGTCTTCTGAATAATGCTTTTCTCTCTTTCTTTTTTACTAAATTTTCATTTGAGGGGTTTTACATATTAAAGGAGAGGTATGTATTTCGAAGTAGAAGTCATAATTATTAATTTATTAATGTATGGCAAAAGTGAAAATGAACAAAAATTTCAGAATTTTAATTAATCCTTAATTGATTTTAAAAAATTAGTTATTATTTACTTCATATGTTAGATGGGACAATACATTTAGTTCTTTTTAATTTATCAGTCAACTTTTACGCTTGCTTATGGAAAAGAAAAGATCAATTTTTCTTATCAGTTTGGTTATAGCAAACTAAACTTTTGGTTCCTTGAAATTTATCATAGTGGGATTTGACTATATATTCTAAATTTGTTGAATATTGTATTCATTAATAGAAATTTTGTACAAGTTTCAGTTTATTAGCAGTTTAGTATTAATAGCGATAGAGTATGTTTTGCTCATTTGAATACGGAAAAGTGTATGAAGATTATCTACCGTAAGGGAAGAATGTTTTCATGGAAGTGGCTTGTGTTTATGTTATGCTGGGGAAAGAACAAAAATACTCAAGTTTTGTTTTTTAAGATTCAAATTAAGTATGGCTATAAATAAATGTTCAGGCAGTTTTTAACCACTTTGATAAGTCAGTAATAGATATATGTGAAGGTTACGTGTTTAGATTTTATAGTTACAGGTATTTAGATCTGATATGATCTTTACAGCTATTAGATCCTCTTAGCTAAAATCTGTACATTAATCATATTTTAATTAGTACACTGCCAAAAAATGTCAAATTTTGTAGTGTGCTTGAATGTGTTGTTGAAACAGTTGCATATATCTGTATGAATCATCTTGTAATTAAATGTTATCTTGCTGATATTATAGAGAATAACAGAAAATGTCAAAATTGCATTACCTTTCACGTAAATTCTTTAGATTTTCCTCCCAATATTTTTGGCATTAAATTGATTGTAATGCACTTTTATGAGCAATTAATTAGTATTCATTCCAGAAAAAACGCATCAAAGGTAGAGAAACTATATATTTATTTAAAATTTCACACTACACTGTAACAATTCTTATCGCATGAAAACACAACAGAATGACATTGTAATGAAAGGTGAAAAGTCATGTATATCATACGGCTTGATGATGAAAGACTGTATATGATGCACCGCTGGGATTCACATAAATAAAAACTGAAACATTTAAGTACAGAGGCATAATAAACAAAGTAGTTTTTTTACATTTTCGAAAATTAGAATCAAACTTACAATTAAAAAAAAAAAAAATATTACTTCTGAGAATCGCTGTGTCCTATTTTACTTTATACTTGGAATGATGTTTCTGTTTATAACTGAGAAAATGTTTTAAAAATTATTTAATTTTTCAATAAGTTATGAGAATATCGCTTAAATTGTTGTCTTCGTTAATGTAACGGATAGTAATTTAAAAATCAAATCAAACTGTCATTAGTTGGATCGTATTATTGAAGTAATATTGTTTAAAAAGAAGAATGCATTATAAAAAAGCAATTTTTGAACATATTTAGTTCTATTAGTGCTAAAAGGGCATCAGTTAATATACTGGAAAACTTACACTGTTACCAAGTGTTATATGCAAATCTTAATAAGTAAAATAATATCAATTTCTTAAAAATTTAAAAATTCAGCCTTAAAATTAGATGTGCCAGTTGTGGAAATTAATGTAATTTTGGAAAATTTACATAAATTAAACGCTAAAGACAATTTAAAAATTTAGAAAAATTTTTTTAAACTTATTTTCCAACGGCCGGCACTAGCCGTTTATGGGCGTTAGCCACTCTGAGTGCCAAAGCGGTGGTCTCTCCATTATGAAGGCAGCTAATAGGTGAACCACCGTTGGCTCCTCTGAAGGGAGGAAAAATTTACATGCATGCCTTCACCGAGATTTGAACCCGGGCCTTTCGGTACGGCAGTCAGAGTCACTAAGCACTTCTCCCTCTGGGCGTTAGAACTACCCTTATATTAACATTTTCAATATTATATAAAATATTAGTCTCGTTTTTCAAATGATTTTGCCAGAAGTCTTTATCAAATATTGGAGGCATTTTCTAAAATAATAATAATAATAAACTTCTAAAAGTTAAAAAGAATGATGCATAAAGACGTCATATGTTTTGATTCAGAATTCCTAAACTGTTATGTTTAAATAATAATAATAATAAATAAATAAAAATGCTTTTTAACACATATATTTCAGTATAATTCAGTATTTAAACTTTTGATAAAAAGCATCTAGTAAGGTTCAATTTAATTAATTTAATTTTAGAGATGTTACGGTTCCATATTCTTATGTCTGTGTGAGTTATGAAAATTCTGATTTTTAAGTAGACCAATAATCAGAATGTGATATAGAAAGAAATTTCCATGAATAGAAGTCAGTAGAATTTTTCAGCTGTTCTAAATACTTACATACTTGTATGTATAGCATATAAATAAGTTGGAAGGTTTAAACTGTGAAATATTGTCAAGGTCTTTAATATTTATCATTGAATAAATATTGTACTATATAATCTGCTTCTCTGCAAAGCATTTTCCAATATTTCTCTTCTGGACATTCTCATCTTGTTTACCTACTACCAGGATTTTTCATTTGAATGAAGTTATGTGTTAATTGAGGTAAATCGATTAACGACATGAAATTATTAATTATGAGGATGATAACATATAAAAATGGGCAAAATTAGGCTGAATGAAGTTCAAATTTTTTCAGTTCCCTAAATAGGCTGCAAAGAGCCGAGACAACACTGAATCGGATTTGGAGCCTTGAGGTTGAGTGCCGGGTGCGGGCAACAGATTGTGGCATTCATGATTTTCTGATCCATAGCCAGTGCACACAATGTCTGGAAGCCTAGAAACAGCATTCCGAAGCAAAAGTTGCATGAAATCTACTGCCGCTTTGCCACATTTTTTCTCCACTGTGTTTCTAGTGCAGGTCATGTACCTTTGATAACCACTGAAATAAAAAGCCCAAGTTATTTAAAACTATCTTTATTTAATGAAATATAGTAATGTATAGGTAAATAAATCAGGAGAGGATAATCTTAATATGAAATACCCCATAAAGTTTTTTTTTTTTTTTTTTTTTTGAGTCTAAAATAGGGGGAAAAAAATTAAGACATAAAATGTCATTATTTTCTCCGTATCTTCTGAAATTTATGAACTAAAATTACCTGTAACCATTAAAAGACTCCATGCGTTAACCTTTTCAAAAATCTAATCTAATGAAGATGGTAGACTAAATTTTTCAAATTAGAAATCTAAAATTATATCTTGCAATTTAAGATAAATCATGATTATTATTATTGATTCTGATAATTCGCTTATATACGTACAGTTAAACCAAAAGTCAAAATTTTATATAATTCCAGAAAATATTAGCTATGCATACATATAATTTAATGCAATTTAAACTGCTGTACATGAATGAATATTCAGATATAAATAGGTAAATTAAAACGATTTTGCTTTATTTGTATTCAGACTGATAACATGAAATACCTTCGGTTTTATTTAACGTATTTATTTTATAATGTATTTTCGCATCATATAATATACATCATATATAAGTAAGTCATTAGTCTTTTCTCTTGTTCTTTATTTCTAAGACTTTCAGTATTTAAAATATCTAATTCCAAACGCTGACTGAAGTCCTCTCCTACTCTCGTTTTTTTAGCAATCTTATCATATTCTTATGATTTCTGTTTAAAGCTTGTACTGATTTGTAACGCTATTTCTTATTATCTCAATTCATATGCATCAGATTATAATTCTGTTCTAAATATTTTAATGCTTTTAACGTATTTGTTAAAGGTACAATTTTTAAATTTTACTATGATCCCTTTACTATGTTTTTCCCCCCCTCCAAATATATGTGTGCATTTTTAACATCAGTACCCTGGAAAATAAAATTTAAGAACTCCCTCTTAAATTTCAGTCTAAGTTTAGATATATTACTGTTTGCCGCTAGTTATGTTACACAATAAAAATTAAATTATTTTCTTACCAGCATGCCATGGGAATCCTATTTTGAAATTCGGATGTAGATATCGCTTCGAGTCCTGCTTGCAAGTCAGTTAAGCATTCTTTCTGTAAGCTATGTGCGTCGTTTAAACATGGAGCATGTTTCAGATAATCTAAAGTAGAGACGAAAAAAAAAAAAAAAAAAAAAAAAAAGTATTCAATAAAGGAGAAAGTTTTTAAACTTTTTAAATTTTAATCTAGGTCGATTTTTGTAATAAGTGTTTAGTTAATATGTTTTTGCAGCAAGTACTTAGTTGATAGTTTTTTTGCAACTTAGTTAATTGGTGCTAATGTACATAAAATGTTTCGAATTTTTTTAATGTTGTTTTTTAAAACCAAAGTTGCTTCAATGCATTTTACAGTGAAATTCGATAAAAGTATAAGTGGTTATGGTTATTTGAATGTTACAAAGCACACGAAGGCTATCTGCATAAGAGAAGAGATGCCTGCATGGAAGATTTCCTAAAGTAAAATGGCTTGTACCGTCGTTCCATGTGGGTAAAACCACAAAGATCAACTACGCAGCCAGCCCGTTCGTCTGGAATTTATTTCAAGTCGAACCCCCAGGATTCAGAGATCTTAACCATTCTGCCACTAAGGGGGGGGTGTGAATGACTGACTGAAAACAGAGAGAAGACATCTATTCTGCGCCTTCTTGATTACTCTTAACCCAAAGCATCTCAGAGAAAGTTATATGAACAGTGCTTTCATATTCCGTCTTTCCCTGTAACCCAGCTACAAGTGACCCTTTTCATAATGGGAGGTTTTTCATTCCTTTACTCCACATATCGATTATAAATAACGAAGTTTTATCAGGTTTGTACCTAGGCCAAGAAAGTTTGTAGCTGCCACTGCTAACTATCATAAAGATCGAGCTACTAGACAAGTATTCAGTCTTAACGAAGTATGTGTACAGGAATACGAGGGGAAGTCAATAAATAAGTCAGAAAGACAATTACGAAACAACCCAACAAGATATTCACCTGTAAACTATTTTCGTTTCTCATCATATTCTTCGTAATTATTTATACACTTGTTTCATCGTTTTATCAACGCTGCAATACTAGTTGTATAAAATTCTTTGGGTTGCTATTTCAGCCACATCTTAAACATTTTTCTCATCTGCAAAGCTTATGCCTCCAAGGTGTTTTTAGTGGACCAAACAGGTAGTCCTATTGTTATCGTTATAATGCGCAGTATATTTATGTTATAATGTACACTATACATATATATTTACTGTTACAATGAAATCAATTCTTCCACTCTTCGCACTATTGGGTCAGTCTGTATCTGAAGAGATCGCACGCTTTGGTCTTCATCACAAACTTTGAAGTGGACTTTAGGAAACTACTCGACCGACTTGGGCATGACTTTAAGCGACAAACACTTCTTTCAATAAAAAGGAAACATTCCTTTAGGAATATCATTCGCCCGAAGACCTCTCCTCTTCCTTCATAAATATATATATATATATAAAGGATAACAGCAAGTTGCTGCTCATTAAGTTCCACAGACATTTCTAAAGTGAATTCGTATGTGCAACTGGTAACTAAAGAAAGGAATGTCATGAACTAGGACTATTCTCCCACGTATTAGCACACAGAAAAAGTACTTATATTGTTATTTTCAAATATATCGTGCCAGTTTGTGACTTACTTGATGAATTTCTCTCGTATTTAATCACATAATATTAGTCATCAGCCATTCAAAATACGTGATGGAGGTTCCAAAATTCTCTTTTAATACTGATTTCATAATAAAACTTTTCTATATACATCTAAGTTTAATAATTCCAAATAAAAAATTATCTGTTAACCTCCGTCCAAAAAAGGAATCCGAGGAATTTTTAAAGAAAGTTTTAGACGATATTTCAGCCATAGATTTCAGTGTAGTTTTGCTACTATACCCAACAGCGAATTTGATATTGCATAATTGTTTCTTGAACTGGGTTCATTTTTTAAACAAACAAGTTGCATGAAAGTTCTATGAAAAAGAATACAGGGAACTACTTACTCGCTCTCAGATCTGTTCCAGGAGTACAATACTCATTAAGTAATTTTTCGGATCCTTCGCTAACAAATCCGAGAAGTTCTCTTTGAAGAGGAGTCATGCATCGAAGAGTAAAATTTTTAAAGCATTGCTCGGCTTCGTTTATGTATCTGAAATTTACCATGAATAATAAGAATATATTAGTTTAATTCAAATTCATACAAAAGAGATTCAAAATAAAAAAGAATTATTAACTACTGATATTCCTCTTTTAACCGTCGTACTCATTCTTAAGAAATTTGGTAAAAAACTTAATTTTTTTTTCCGATAGGTAACAATCATTTCTGACAAGTCGCAGTCAGATTTCGAAAAGGAAAGATATGAAAGATGGAGAATGAATAGCATGTTAATGAATTTATTAATTGTTATCTATATTTGAAAACATAAGATAACTAGAAATATAAAAGACTGCATGTTATATTAGTTAATTCAAGAAAAGTAAGTTTGAGGGAGATTTTTGAGAGGCAACTTGCACATATAAATTTTATAAATGCATTTATGAACATCCCAGCTCATGGTTTAGATCAGCGGTTCTCAACCTTTTCACTAACGCGTACCATCTGAACAAAAAATGAAAATCTTTAGTACCACCGCTACATTTTACAAGGATTATTTTTCAATTTCTGAATTGAAATATTAAATAATAATAATAAAATCTGAAAACTTTTAGATTTTACATTACGTCCAAAGGGATGCTTTTTTAACCTTTTGTGTGTTACCTTTATTTATTAAACATCATGTTCTTTGCAGTTAAACCATAAAATTCAATTCAACAGCAATATCGAAAAAATAATTTTAAAATAAGCATATCTTTAGAATTTTCGATACACAGTCTCACGCGCTGGAGATAGAAATCTGGTATTTTTTCCTGTACAGTTTTGTCATTGCTCGCTTTGAAATCGTTAAGTTTGTTAATCAAAAATTCGTTGTAAATTTACTTGTCTATTATTTTTGAACTTCGATAATTTCCTCTTAAACTATTCTTCAGATTTATCCTTTAAATTGCCATGCTTAGAGTCAAGATATCTTTAAGAAACTATGGTTTCATACTTTGATTGGATAATAGTTCACCGCAAACAACACATTGAAGTTGAGAGTCCATTTCATCTTCATTCTGAAAAATCCAGATGATAAATAACTTTCATTATATTTTCTAGAAACATTTTGCTTTTGTTTTCAATATTTTTAATGCTGGTAGATTCTCCTGGATCCATCACCTGCAAATGGTCACTTTTCCGCTCAGTCAATCCTCGCCATTTTCCCATTTTGAAAATATAGGTTTGTTTTATTATTTTTTCAAAAATATTTAAATGCACAATATGTTACGAGTTCTTCAAAAACAGAAGACGATATTCTCAAATCGGTAGAAAAGTAAGGAATAAAAGCAACAAGAAGACAAAATACCTACTGATAGAGACAGCATACTGATGTAAAAAATGATTCTCATTGAAAATGGAGCAATATGAGCCCGGAAATGGCGACATAAAAAGAGCTGACATGCTAATAAATCGATAAACTGTAAGAGAATGAATGAGATAATATTTCCTTTTTTTATAGGAATTTATTTCCTATTAAATACAGCATCCATTTCTACGAGTATAACGCCTTTTAAAAACATCATTTTTGGCAAATTTTGTTATGTCTACGGCTGAAAGAATATTTGTTAAATGTACAACATGGAAGCACCACGAAAACAGCCATGCAAACAGATCGTTCGCCTGTTCCTGAAGTCTATAAGCGGCTATTGACCTTAAATAAACCTCAGATCGCATAAATTTAGGAGCGTTGGAGAAAAACTTCAATTAGGATGTCGGAGTTTTAATTTTTGAATTTAATAGCTAAAAATACTTTGCTTCTTTGCGTACCACCTATTTTTCTCTTGCGTACCACTAGTTGAGAACCTCTGGTTCAGATAATGTCTTAAAAAGGTAGGTACAGTATGCGAACTGGCATATGATCCAGGAGGGACAGGGATTTGAAATGCAACTGTAATTATGTAAAATATGATACTGGTCAAATTTTAAATTTCGAAGCTGTATTCTCGTGTTTGGTTTCGAATTCAAATCACGGTATGTTTGCGGCTGTCCAAATTTCTATAATTTCGTTTAAATATGATATTACTAAGAACATTAAATATAAGATAACAATGGATCCGCTTAAGTGAAAGATAGCGAAGCTCAGTCAAACTAACTGTAGGTAAATGCAGGTGAATGGGCTTTATAATGTTTGGCAATCAAAAATTATTTGTCAAAGACTGTTTTATCGTATTTTTTATTATTATTACCGCGATTAAAAACCTCAAAAATATACTTTACTCTGGAGAAACGAAAAATTAGTTAAGGCCTTGGATATGGACTTTCTCAAAACAGTCTAAGAAACCAGTGCCTTCTCGTAAAACTCTTATGCCAACTAAGCTACATAATTTAAAATTAGATAAAATAAGGTTGGCGTAGGTTTTGAATAAAACTTTACCAGTTTCCAGAGTGATCTGACATAAGTTCTTCATCTTCAGAATTTAGCTTCTGAAAAAAGGTGGACTTATGTCAGAGCACTCTAAAAATTGGTAGAATTTTCATTGAAAATTTACATCAGTTTTAGGCTTTCTTTTTTGTTTCGGTGCAGGAAAATTTAAATTTTACATTGGCTCATTTGTCTCCCAATTAAAATTATATGACGCCTAAACACTTATACAGTTAATTAAATATAAAGGAGCACATAAAAAATTCTCATAATGAGATATATGTCTGGTCTTGTTTCAGCTTAATGATTGATTATATTCTTACGGACTATTGAAATTATTTTTTATGAACATTCAGGAATTACACGACTTTTGCTTCATTACTATCTTATAAACTGAAACATTTTAGAGTATGTCTTCTTTCTGGATACATATTACAGATACTAAAGATATAATATCAATGGCCCACACTTTTGCAAATGATTCATGTTCTGAAACGTAAGAAAACTGTAATATTTAAAGTTAAATATACATTTTATTTAAAACTGTAGTAGAATTTCCTTTATATATACATATGGCATGAACTCTACACTTCTTTTCAGGAAAAGTTCTTGTACGTTTTATTTTTAGTTAAAGAATTGAAATTTAAATTTCAATGAAGCTTAAAAAATCGCTGCAAGTATTTAACAGTTTTGTATAAATTAATAAGTAGTAAATATTGACACTACAGCGAGCCTGCTAAGGCATGGCAGCCACACTTTAGTGTCCTTCACTGAAGGATTTTCTCCAGTATACCGTTGTTTTGCAAGACAATGCTGATTTATCACACGCCTCACTCGACTTCGATAACACCGTGATGTACGGTCTCGGATACATTCGCTCATTATCCAACTTCTTTATTCCTCTTTCGTATGTGTATGAAAACTTAAATATATATTTCACTTACAGTATGAGTTAACGGGGTTAGTTAAGTTTCAATTTGGTTTATGATTAGACTTACCTGAAAAACAAAACTCGGAGTGTAAAAGTCTGGGATAAAGTACTAAAAATATTCTCTAATAGAACTAGGGATGTTTCTCCTAAATTAAGCTTCAATGTAGCAATCTTCCTATGTATAAATTATACTTCAGTGCAATTATAAACACCATATTGCGTGCAAAACTTAAGAAACAAGCTCATTTTTCAGCATAAAACCATGTAGTTGTTGGAAAAGGCTTATGTAAATATCAGCACAATAATGTCAGAGGGTACGTCGGGTACGCAAATCGTGAGGAGTCAGTGGACGTAGTACAAGAAATTTAAAAAGAAGAAAGAAAGTCGTGTTTCCAGGCAGTCTTCTGCAAATGAAAGTGAGACTGTACGACCCGTATGGCTACCAGTAGACATCGGGGACACCTTTTCATGCGATAGAATGATTGACAATCTTGAGTATGATAGAATAATTGACAATCTTGAGTGCGATAGAATTTTTGACAATCTTGAGGAGAAGCGTAATTTGACATCTGTCTCCTAAGAATTTGAAACTGATTAAAGTGCTGTTTCACAAGCTTAGAAAAACTTCCAAAAAACAGATGCAGCTGTATGAAAGGTTGGTGGTTGTCGGCTAAGGAAAACAATGGTGGCTGGTGGCAAAAGACTGGACATCTCATCAATGGAGTCACGTTCTCTTTAGTCTGACAAATGATTTTCGGCGCCAACTGATATAGAGAGAGGATAACATGCTTTTATCCCACCCATATGCGTCTTCTTCGGATGTCATTGGTTCTCAACATTGTTTTAATGGATGACAATGCACGGCCATACAGAAGTTAGACTTTTTAGCAGCTTCTGAAGAGAGAAGATGTTCATAGAATGGATTAACCAACGTGCTTTCCTGATTTAAATCCCACTGATCATGTGTGGAATACTTTAAAGAGAGACCTGGCGGCACATCTTACTCTTTGGAGAACGCAGACAACTGAAACAAATGCTGCTAGAAAAATGAGAAGTGTACCCTAAGAACTAATGAGATAATCTGATGGAGTATCGATAGAAGGTGCTACGCAACCATTGCAGTTAGAAGAGGTCACATCCCTTACTAAGCCTCTGGTTTGTTGTTCTTTCTCTTGGCCAGATAGTTTTTTGTATCAACTCATTCTGTCGATAAAGCATTTTTCTAATCATTCCATACTGTATACCTGTATACGTTCTATTCTTTCTCCTTTTTTTTTTTTTTACTGTATTTTTAACTGACATGATGACTTTTTTTTTTTTCGGAATTATTCAATTAAATCATAATCAGAAATGTGCAGAATATTAATCAGAAAAGCTGCTTTAATTTTGCACACTAGTGTACAATTAGGAATATTCGCACGCTTTGGAATCTTATCCACAAGGTGTCTCTTAGATACTGGAACACAATAGTGAAATTCTAAGTTTACCTGGAATAAAAAATGCACGGAGACATAATTAAAATGAAAATTGTTGTTTATTTTGTATAATGCGACAAAATCTTTGATGACACGTATAACATTTAATTTGTAATTTTACATTTTCAAATAATAACTGCCGATTAAATATTAAAAAACTAAATTTGTTCCTAACAGGTTTGCAAAAGGCATATTTTGGTATAGGTAACATTCCTTCTTCGATAAGAAAAGGATTTAGCACTTTCAAAACATTTTAATAGCAAACTACTTTTTTTTAAAAAAATATTTATGTAAAATAGCTTTAAAGGACTTTTGGTATTTGCTTTTTATTTTATAATACTTGGTTTAAAATTTAAGATTATAGCAAAAAATTTTTGAAAAGAATAAAAGAGAGAACTCACGTGCATTGTCTGTTCAGATCTGGTTCGTTGGTGGCGACACCTGTCGGGCTCTGATTGAAAAGCACCAAAGTAGCAGCACATAAATCCAGTTCTCGAAGATGGCATGATTGGGCAGATCCACAATAGAAAACTGTGAAGATTACACAACACACTATTAATTCTTGGAAACAAATACAGTTATTTAGAAAGTACTTAACTTTTTCTAAAAACCAGTTAGTTATAAAACAGTATTATGTGTAAGATTTGTAATTTTTGCTGATGAAAACATTTTATGCATTGATTTAAGAGTGAAAATTCAGCTATTTTCTTTTCAGCCATTTTCATTTTCAGCATGATGAATCGCAAAACATGTAACTTCTCCGAACTGGATCGAATATGTTGTGACAGTTTAATTCGCATTTGAACTCACAAAAACGAAAAAAATGTACATTTTCTTAGCTTAAAGAACAAATTTCCTTTTACTTAGCTTATTTTCTTAGCTTAAAGAACAAATTTCCTTTTCTTCCTAGGAAATTACTAGGAAGAAAAGAAAGCTTTCTTTTAATTTTGAAATTACTGTCTTCGCAACAAAATTAATATTTGACTAATAGAGGAAAGGAAATATATTCTGAATTGATAAAGGTAAACGTTTCTAATTTTATTACTGTTTCACGTATATTCATTTTTTGGGTTGTTTTCCGATATATTTAAATATTAAAAATAGAAAAGAAGAGAGTGCATTTAGTTTGTCGCATTTATTTGTATTTTTACCTGAAAATCTTAAATCTACTTTTCTGAAATACAACCATTTAAATGCATTTATTTCGAAATGTAGTTTTGGAGTAATGACCGCGATTTGTGAAAGAGATGTTTCATGTATTTACACGGATACAGTCTCAAGATAAATCTTTATATTATTGTAACGAATGTTGTATTTAAATAGGCAATTTTAGTAGAATTATAATTAAAATTGTTGTATTTTCCCGTGCAATGCACTGATTATATTGCGTGATATTGTGAAAACTTGTACGAATATCTCTGAGGAAAATCCAGAGTTAGAGTTCTGATATATTTCCTTTGATAAGAGTACATTTTATTAACCCATTATTGGAGTTGTGTATTCAATCTGTTACGAACCCGTACGCATGCAAAATTATATTATTTTAGCTATTCAAAAATTTTATTTATTCTGCAGTAAGGAATTAAAGAAATTCTATCAGCATTTTTAAATTGTAAGTCTGTAAATGATCAGAGATACCTCAAACATTTAAATTCCTATAGAAATAGACATATTCCTACAGAGAATTTTATTGGTAGCTAAGAAGCCATTATTCTGTAAAAATATATTTTTCTTTATTAGTCCTTAAAATGTACCTTGCTATCTATTGGAGCCTATTTGAGTTTTACCACAAAATTCAAATTAATAATATCATGGTTGTGATTCTTTTCTTTTAGAATATGAAGTAATAATTTCGAATTAGGAAAAAATGCAACTTTAATTTGGTATAAATTTTGAATGAAATTCTGTCGATTTCGAGGACAGTCAGACAAAGGTTAATTTCCTTCAACAGCTAAAAATAACTGTTTGATCCCTTGTGAAATAGAGTTTTATTTAAAATCTACGCAAAACTAAAGTTACGTTTTTGTTCAGCACTAAATTTTACCTGGCGTGTTTTTTCCAATTTAGTGACATAATAACTTTTTTTTTTTTTTTTAATTAAGCAAATTCGTCTCAGAGCAAGGGTGATATCAAATAAAAAGACTCAAGGAAATAATCGTCTGTGAATTATTTCTCGTTTAATAATACTAGCGAAAATAACCTGTAATATTGATTCCGTAATGTTTCAAACTGATTTTTATAATTATTCACTTTCGATTTCTAATTATTGTTATAATGGAAAGATGTTCGAATAACTTTGGAACATTACGAAATTTTGTGATAGCTTTTATCAGACATCTTGAAATGCCACTTTCACTGAGTACTTTTCTTTTCCTTTTGAAGGCAGCTTGAGATAGGCCAGCCGATTTCGAAATTGGAGTATGAGGGGGCGTTCATCCGAAGCTTTGGCCCAATTTTCTACAAACGGTACGAATTACGACCACGCTTTATAGCAAAAATAATTTCTTGGTTCATCGGCCTGAGGTCAGGTTGTTGATCTCCCTGAATACATTTTCATTCTTTCTTGTTTTCTTGTGATTATTCCTCCGAATTTCCATCTCAGGCAATCGCTTTCGATTCAAATTTGCTTCCTCTCTGAACAGTACTTTATTGAATATGCCTTTCTTATTTATTTTTTGAACGTGAATTTTTTCAAATAGTCTAATGCAGTCTGGGTTATTTCTTGTCGGTGTTAGTTCACGGCCTGTTGCTCACAAGAGATTTACAATACATGGTTTTGTTCCGCTATGAAACAGCATACTTTTTCTACTTTTATGATTATATTTTTAATGCAATAATTGTTGACTCATTTCTTTTTTCTTTAAAAGAAGTTTCTGTTGTTGTTTTGTTATAGAAAAAAGTTAACAGGATCATTTCATAGTATTAACACGGAAATGAAAATACTCTTCGTTAAAACGTTTATTGGCATCATAACTTTTGTAAATTCAAGTATGAAAGTAAAGTAAATTCCTAGAAATAGCTAAACAGCGTTGCATACATTGCATAGGAGCATTTTCTGTTGCACATCGTTAAACATAATATCCGGTTTCTTCCATCATAAGCTAATGAGGTTTGTGATTATTCTGAAAAGTGTCGTTTATTTATTCCTCCATAAGAAATTTTAAGTATTACGAAGTAATTTTATTGAGATAAATAATACAGATTCATACATATAACATCAAGTGAGTAAGAACTGAGAGAGGATAAGACGAGCAGATTCCACAGCTTTATTCCTAAAACATGAGTATCGTAACAGTTACCAGAATGTGAGCTTGAATTCTGCGGTTATTCGTATTTGAGTTTTAGCAAATTCGCTGAAAGTGAATTTAGCTTTTATATTGAATTTATTTAGATTAACACTGCTTTTATCTTGAACAGATAGTTATTAGCCCAAATATACTTACTAGCCCAGAAGGACTATTATTCTCGAAAGAGCATTTTGAGTCCAATCACTATAAAAGGCTGTAACGCATTTCAAATTGTTTTCTCACAATTTTATCGCCTTGTATTGCATTTAAAGAAACTAAATAATGAAGAATCTACATGAATGTATGTATGTTTCTGGCATTGGGAAAAAACAACGGTTCCTAAAGTCATCGAATTTTAAATAAGATAGTCCTCCACCCGAACACAGGCACCTGGACGCCCGAATTTAGAATTTCGAATTTGCTTTATTGTCTATTTCAAATTTCGTAAAACTTTAACGAATTTTTGATCAAAAAAGTCAAAAATTTCAAAGCGAGCAGTGGCAACACTGTAGGGAATAAAACACTTTTATCTCCAGCGCGCGAGACTGTATATCGAAAATTCTAAACATATGCTGTTTTTAAATAATTTTAGCTCAATGTGGTGTTAATCCAAATGATCTCGAAATGTGTACGTGTCTGTAAATAAAAATACGTAACATAAAATCTGAAAGCTTATACTTTGTTGGATTTAGCTTTTATACTGATTTAGATTTTATACTGAACTTTAGCTTTCATACTGAAATGGCATATACAATCTTCAGTTGACAGTACGTTTTAAACTTTTATGAAATTGTTGAGATTAGTACAAACGTCCCGCAGTCAAAACTTTGTGCAAATTATTGAGTTCAAGCCATTGTTGAATTCTTGGACAACTGTTTCATTTGTTGAAGATCAGCTTACTTTTAACAAATAGATAGGAACTACATCCCTATTTTAAATTACTGATTTAAAAAAACACCCACTTAGCAGTTTCTGAAATCACAATATTTGCCTTTTTAAAAAAATTATTATAGAATGTATAACTCTGTATAGTGATGAATAAAATTATATAGATGTGTGCCTTAATAATAAAAGAAAGCTTTTTCGTATTAATAACTTTCGAAAATTTCGAAACATTATTATAGTGTCCGAGAACCAAAATTGCTTTATGTGGCAAAATTGCATTACATGTATTATGTTAATTTACTTTCCAAAATGTAACACACATTTGAAGAATATAAATAAAATTATCCTTGTAGTTTAATTAAGCTGATCTAAATTGTAGCCCAAGTTAAATTTTGCAATTATTTTTCATTTAAATTTTGAATTTGAGAAAGGAACAATAAATTTGTTGTTCATTAATTCCATTTGCTAGTAAAATTATTATAAGTCAGCAAAGCAAAAAGCACTCAAAAAGTTGAGATTTTGACAAATCAGTCAATAAAAGGAAGCAATAAAGTATGGCAATACTTGTGCCTTGGGTTTGAATTAAACGATGCCATTTATACTCCTTATTGAACAGTTAATAACAACATTTAGTGTATGTGAAGAAGTAACAATTATATCAATGTGTAAAATGATCAGAATAACAAAAGTACCACTATTTTATTTCATAATGCAGTTAATTATTCATTTCATTATATATTTCTTACTTTGCTCTTTATGCAAGCTTATAGTTCTGTCGAATGGTTTAGTCTTTTGCACATCTTCAAATTCTGTCGAATTATAACTACTCTAGCTTAAGGAAAGACAGCTAGAGTTTGAACAGAACACATAATAGAGACTTTAAATGAAAAAGTTCTTTTCTTAAATTCAGCTTATAAATTGAAGTTAAATTCAATAATCCCTGGAGGTACCAAACATTTAAACCTTCAAAGAAATTCTGCATTTTGTCTTAGTACGATACTCTATATAATCGACATTTTAAATATATACTTTCCATTCAAGTTATCGAGAAAAAAAATAATAAGGTGAAAACGCTTATTAAGAACAACACATGGAATATTTTCAAGAGCATTTATTTTAAAATTGCTTTTTTGAGATTCTGATATTTTATGTATAGTTAACAACTCGAATTTCGAAGCTGAACTAGCAAGTGCCATTATAATTTGAGATACTTTTTATCTCAAGTTTGAATTATTATTAATTTATTATTGTATCAATTGTATTCTATTATTTGATTATTATAACTGGTTTATTATAATGTGTTATTATTAAGTTTCTAAATTATTTGAAACACCAAAACAGCAAAATTTCTGTAATTACATTCAGTTAATAGCTTTTAGAACGTTTTGCAAATGGCTGTCCCTTAATTTCATAAAGTAAAATAGTAACCGTCTCTTAAACTTAAAAGAATTTATTTATTTCATCATACTATTTACAGTTCTTATAAAAATGTGCGTTGTTTATTTATTAAACTGATACCTACATCGACGATTAAAAACATTCTTCTTTATTTTCACTTTACATGAACTTTATTTGAATAAATTAATATTTTTTCTACAGATTTAATGCCGAATAAATGTTGAAAGTAAATCTCAATTTTGTTTTCGAGATTTTAAATCTTTTATTATGAATGAATTTTTATTAAGATGTATAATTTATTTCAAAGAAGAATAAGTTCTTTCATTAAAAATCAAATTAATATTCTTTTTTATTTTAATTGCAAATAATTATTAAGTCAGCCACAAACTTATTTTAGAACTTCTAGAAAGTTTTGTTATCATTAAAACAGTATAATTTATTGCAATGGAAAATTAATTCTTTCATTAAAGTTTAATAAAAGGAGAAAATAAGGAATGCATTTACCAACCTGTAGCGATGATGCCAAAACTCAAAAGTAATTGGGACAAGAAACTCTTCATTGTGACACTAGCTATTTCTCTACAGCAGAACAAACGAATGAATTGCCAAGATAGAAAACTTCATCTTTTATATCCAGTGACCTACTCTACGTGCAGAGGCGGGGTTACCCGTTTCGTTGGCTTTTTTCTTCGATTCATCAAAGCACAGTCCACTGCAACTCATAATCAATCGTCCGTGTAATCCAAAATTTTTTATTCCATTTTTTTCAGGAAGTTCCTTTGCCTAATTAACGTGGTTATGACCAAAAGCAGAACGGCTTGCGTAAATTCCACTGCCTCAGCAAACTAAGCGCTTGCTTTGGACAATGCAATTTTCTGAAATTGACAGTGCAAACACTTAACTGCTTGGCTGAGAAAATGAAACTTACGAAGCACATGTAAAACAAGTGATTGTTCGAGCCTGAGTTTATCAAATGAACTCCAGCTGAAACGCTGGAATAAAATAAGAATACTGATATTCGAAACTGTTTTAAATGTTGCTGTTGCTGTCCATATTAGATTATATTTTAAATACATATAACAAAAAATGTAATACTCTTCTTCAAGATGCACAAAAGACTAAACCATGAAAATGCCTATGCAGTCAGCCCATTTTTAAGGATTGGAGCCTGGATAAATCTATTATTATTCAGTTACCCCATCGGCCATCGATAAACTGAAAATAGATAAATATAAATAAACTAAAACACATAACAAAATGAAAGGAGATTCAATGTTCAATGAATAAGATGAGAATTTTATTTACATGCACTTACATGTCTGTATACATGCCATATATACAGTTATTAACATTTACTTTGCATGCAGTGTATACTACATGCGATTATTTTGTAGTCAAAGTGAGTCCGATATGATGTTGGAAACATCCTTCATTAATTGCACTGTTAGTATGAATACTTAAATAGTATATATCAAGAATTAGGTTGTAAGGATCTTAAGTTTTACTAACGTTTATTTTATTTTAAATCTTTACTATCACTTCTTATTTTCTACTTCCGGCCAGAATTAAAAGCTTTAACTTATTTATGCAAATTTGTCTTGCGAACGCCAAGTACTTAAGTTGTGGCTTTTTGCCAAGCTAGAGAGAGAGGAAGGAGTTAGTAGAAGCAGGCAGCTTGCCTTAGCAGTTTTACTCGGTTGCTGGTTGCCTTCAAGGCCAGAGGCTTAGCCCTCTTGATAATTGCAGACGTATCGTAGTGTTAACAGTTCTCTGTACTACATACGGCCTTTCTGTTAATATACGGCCAATCTTCAAGTAGACCCTTGTTTATTAATCCAAAGTTAGTTTAGTTAGAGTTTAGTTAGTTTGGTTAGTTAGTTAATATTTTTATATTCTTACGTTCAGACCACAAGTGGTTGGTCTCTGTCTTCCGAAGTCCGGAAATCATTGTAAAGAGAGAAAAATAAAGGGTTTCGTATACCCTTCCTGTGTATCTTGTCTACTTCCCACATTTACTGAACATAGCTTTAGTAAGCTCCCTGTTCCGAGTCAGGTCATGTAATGTTTCCGAAGCAAGTAAGGAGAAACACTGAACCTGATAAGGTATGTTTTAAATTATATGCGTTAACTTCTCCTTGTGCTCTTCAGCGAATAAGGCTGGAGTTCAAAACATAGATATACATAGACTTCAATTAAAATACATTATTAGAAAGATTAAATAAAGATAAAAATTATTAATAATAACTATGTATGTTACATTTTTTTCCAGTGTCGCTAAGTTTGTTTCACTGATAAACTATGGAATATCGTAATTAGAAAGCTGACCTGATCTTATGCAGGAAATGGCAACAGCTCTCAGAATTAAAAATTTCACAGACAGCATAAATGATTAACAAAGTGCTAGCATAACACACATACATATTTTAGAAAAAAAGTATGTAGATGGGGGTTTAGAAAGAAATAGTGGGTTATAGATGTTTCTAACATCAAAAACTCTATAAATTAAAATATTAAATAAAAATTGCAAAAGGTTCTTTTATTGAACTTTTATTCTGTAGCCTATCATGATACGGAGCATTAAACAAGTCTTTTATAGAATGCACTAATATAAAACGTGTTCATAAAAAAGATCAACTAGGTGTATTAAATGAATTATGTAACAGAAATAAGAAATATACAGCTCTGCAGCACATTTTAAAGCTAGATTAAAAATGGAAATATCAGAGCACAGGTGTTTCCAATTCCAAAATCTTTAAAGTTGTGAGCGAATGTTTATAATCAACAGTAAAAAAATCCTTCTGTCTTGCTGAAGAAGAATAGGAAATTAATTTGTGATCAAGAAATAGTGGTGAGTTGTATAAGTAAAAATCGACTCGTATAACTTTTACAAATTGTGTATAATACGCTTGCATCTTTTAATGTATAATCTTTCTTTAAGTAATGGTATTATTAACATTTCTGTTACATATGTAACTCTTAAAACGCATATTTCTTGCATTTTGATCTACAAGTAGTACAATATTTATTAATTAGTATGAGAGATATTATCAGAAACGGCTATTGTATTTTTCATGAATAATAATTATGTTCTCTCAGAACGACAGAAGTAGTGAAGCATGATCATTTGGTGAGCAAAAAGAGGGAAACAGAATCATTTGGTGAGAAATATTGCCAAAAATGTCTAGTAAACAGATTTTTTTAAATAAAATTGTAAGGTTCTTATGTTAATTAATCCGTCATTATGATTTTGATCTTTACTTCTTCTTACCGTATTCCTTACCAGAACGCAAATTATCTTTCTGTTGATTTAAGCTGAGAGTTTCGGATCTCTGAGATAGAGGGCTTTTGGCACTCGTGTACTGTTAGATTTTTGCCAGCTCTATTTGAAAGATATTATCCCGGTTTTTGCATTCTCATTTTTTGCATATCCGATTGCGTTAAACTCACCTGCCGGTAAAGTTTACTCAGCTAGCTTATAGCTTAGTTTATTGCCTGTGTACTCTTAGATTATCAGTGCTTAAATCTAAGTATCTGTTACTGATTAAATTAAATAGGCACAAGTAGTGATTTATTTGTAGCACAAGTCGTGCCTTTTCTCAAAAGTTCAGTTTAATAAAAAGATTGATTAAACCTTCGCAAGTCTTTGTCATACTATTTCAGACATAGCGAAAACTCGCTACTATTCTAATAAAGTTACAGAATTTATACTCAAGCTTCAACTCAACTGCAACCTTACAAAATGTAAACTAAATTCTTAGAAAATGTAGCAGAGTTTGTAAAAATATTATTTATTTAATAATTCAGAAATTGGCTGTATTGAGATATAATACTTCGATTCGAAAATATTGGAAGAACTGGAGAGTATTTTCTTTCTACAAAAAGTAAATCCTTAAATATTGTATTACAATTACTATAAAAATAATGTTAAACTTCAATTAAATGTGAATTGTTCTTTGCAAATGTTATGTAGGAAATTAAAATTACACAGCGAATGTATTCAGAATACGTCATTTGTTAATAATACTAAATGGTGTAAAACTCGGTAATAGTATTATTCCGAATAAGTCAGTTTACTACTCAGTTTAGCATTCTTAGACTTTTTGTTCTTTTGCATCTAGATGTAGCAACACCGTTACAGGTTTAAAGTTAAGTTAAAAAACTTATGCTTGAGGAAGCAGCAACATCTTTCGAAACCAGTGCCCGTGGATTATTAATGCAATTATACGGTAGCAATATGTAACGCGTGCACGGAAATGATTACTAATTAAGCATTTCTTAAATAAAAAGGGTGGGATTTCATAGTAAAACTTATTTCTTAATCCTTACATTGTTAAGCGTGTATAAAAGCATACCCACCATTTCATAATTTTTTTCGTATTTTATGTGAAACGTAACTATATACGTAACTACCACTTATAATAAGCATTATTGCATTATCGTAAGGTAAGATTAAGTAATTAATTGAGGGATTTTTATCTGCATGCATCATTTAGAATACAATGCGTTGTTGGAATTTGAAGATAAAAACTACACTGAAATTAAAAACAGCGCATGTGAAACTGATATCTATAATAATCTTTATTGATAAATGGTAACCGTATTCAAGAATCAAACATTAAGTTTAATGTATTCGGAGAAAAATTCAGAATAATCTTTATATGCTGCATCGGGAAACATCATTAATCCTAATTTGTATCCCATTTTCGATACATTTAATCCTGATTAGTCATCGTAAAGAATTCCAAATTTTTAAAATTCCAAACTTTTTAAATAAAATTTTGGTCTGCAATGGCACTAGCATGAATTTACTTTGAATTCTTTTTTTTAGAATAAACCTGAATGCTTGGGTAGGGAGTAGAACTTTTATCTCTGGCTTCTGAGCTTATCTAATAATATGCAGTCTTATAAAGATAACATATCAGAAATATATTAAATTTCATACACATATTCTATGCGTTTTATGCAGTCTTATAAAGATAACATATCAGAAATATATTAAATTTCATACACATATTCTTATCATAATATTCGATTATTTACTACATTTACTTAAAATACGTTTTATTAATGTAAAATTTAATTAAAATAAGTTCGCACAAGTGATATTATTTTTCTTCTTAAGAATATTTTGTTTTTGATGATGGATTACATGAACTCTTGTAATGGTCTGCAATAAAATTTAATTCTCATCTTAATTACCTTGGATTACTGAAAATCATAAAAATATGAACTTGGATATAAAATAAATAAATGTGTAAATATATTAATACAGTAGTTAACTAATTAATGAATTTTAAAAAGTGTCCGACATTGCTTATGTTATAAATAACGGCTAATAAAATGTTAATTTTATTGCAAAATAGATGAGATAAAATAATATCGATTACTTGCTGAATTAATAACCCTGGAGAACAGCCTATTGCACAGATATTTAGCTGGATTTCCCCATGTGTATTCTTTAAAAAGTTCTCCACAAAAGCATCACGGTTTTTTTTTAGAAAAGTACATGTTACACATTCCATACATTTAGAATGGCAAGTGGCCGATTTAAATTATCAAGATCATTATAGTTATATGTACAGATTTTGATTGAAGGATTTTCAATATTATTTTGCATCTCATGAAAATTCTTGGCAATTTTATAATAAAAAGATCTT